CGGGAGTTTTGACGCTTGAGCGTAAATTTCCATCTCCCAGTATTTCCTCTGCAGTGTTTAACGCTCGAACAAGCGTTTCGACACTCGAGCGTGAGTTTGTGTGTGACGCTCGAGTGGGGAGCTTTACGCTCGAGCGGGGACTTGGTTCTGCAAAAGTTCTGGAAGCGTGTATCCGGCGCTCGAGCGGGGGCTTGGACGCTCGAGCATGAGTTTGTGTCTGACGCTCGAGCGGGGAGACGTGTATATCACTCCGAGATTTAGCTTTTTGGATCACATTTTCAACTCCATTTCTCTCTCTTACTTTTCAAAATAGCCATTGGAGAGCTTCTCTCACTAAAACCTCCACTTCTCTCTTGGGTTTAATCTAGCTAGAGTAATCTCTCACCCTTTGGCCTTTGTAAAAAGTGTGTTGATCATCGAGGGCTACATTTTGATCCGAGAATTTTGGGATTTGGAGCATCTTCGTTTTCTTCATCTCCTTCGTTGGGTTTTATCTTTTGAGGTAGGGATTCCTACTCACTCTTATGGGTTTTGACCTAGATTTTGAGCATGTTGTTTAAATGCTTTGATTTTGGGACTTAGGGTTTCAAAAGGTGTAAAAGGGGTTTTTTTGTTATTTTGATTCTTAAAGATGTATTTTGGGTCTCAAAATGATGTTATTGTTGTTGGTTGTTGATATTTGAACCATTGGGTTAATATTGAGAGATGGAGGAGAAAGTCCTAATTTGTATATAAATTAATTAGTATAATTAATTTGGGAAAGTTATGTGTTTATGAAATTGAGTTGAATATAATGAAATTTGCTCATTATGAGATAGAAGGGTGGAGTTGGATTTATAAATCGCTCACTTTTGAAAATGTCAATTATATATTTGTTGAAGCATTTATTATCCGTTTAGAAATAACTCCTTTGGGCAATCGGTGGAGGATAGTCTTGATTGTTGTAGACATTACATGATGATTAGGTGAATTGAAACTAATCAATTGGTGTATTTGTTATCATTGTATATGATGAGTATTTGAATAGATGGGTGCCGATCCCTCGGACGAAATTTTCGTAAAATGGCAATTCAAACATAATTATACATGGGTGCCGATCCCTCAGACGAAATTTGCATAAAATGGCAATCCGAAAATATCTATACATGGGTGCCGAGTCCCGCGGACGAAATTTCTGTAAAATGGCAACTCAAACATAATTATACATGGGTACCGATCCCGCAGACGAAATTTCCGTGAAATGGTAGTTTGTAGTTTTGTTGGCATGAGATGTAGCCACATTTCAGTTATTTGGCCAAATTCTGAGCCATGTTTATAAGTTGAGTTTTGTGAGTCAAACATTTATTAATTGCTAATGTCTTAGTTACTGCTCATATTATGTTTAGCATATCTCTACTGGGCGTTGGCTCACCCTATATGGGACATCATTTTCAGGTACAGGTAGCATGCCACCTTCAAGGATGTAGCTTGGGAGGCTTGAGACTGTTGGACTGTTTTGTGTTTTTAGTTGTATTACATGTGTATCAAGCTGAGGGCTTATTTTTGTGTAGAGTTAGTACTCTCTTGTTGTAACCAAGTGTTGGCTTGGAAAGTTGTAAGCCCATAGGGCATTTACTTTTGATGTCAACATGTAATGCTTTTTGTAAGAATACTCTGATGTTTATAATATAATATCTCCTTTCAGTAGCTTGAATGTATGATATTATGGGTTTATTTTGAGGGCGTGACAATTTTTTGTTAATTATTCATTAGTTTTTATATGTTTATGTATGGGGATGAACTTTGATATTGAAATCTTACCTATAATTCATGAAATTAAAATTTTTAAACTAATTATTTAACTCTTATCTTTATCAGTAAACCATGAAATTAATTTTTATAAATTATTTCTCAATTATTATATGTTTATCTATTGGACGTTTCAACAATTTTCTCAAAATTTTAATTAAAAATTATTCAAAAATATTAATATGCGATTCGAATTTATTTTATATAAACCCTACAATACACATTTTTAATCTCTACTATACATTCCTATTCTTGACAGAAATCTAAAATTAGAAATCTAGATCCCTAAATTTTCTATTATAAAATTATTCCATTAAAAGCATCTCCAATGGCTTATTATTTGGCATGCTATTGCTATAAAATAGCATGGAGTTCAAATTTTTGCTCCCCAATGATTTGTTGTTTGGCTTTCTATATTTTAGCATAGCTATACTTGTGCCAAATTTGACACAATGTTTACCTATAGGTAGAGCTGTGTAAAATATTGTACAATCCGCTAAAGCTGCACCAATCTACACTGATCTATCCATTAATTGTAGATTAAATTTTAAAATTTATAATCAGCCTACAAAACCAAACCGCTCCGCTCTAATATATATATATATATATATTTAACCTCTAATAAAATATCAAAATAAAAATAAATATGAGAGATTTATTATGTGAAATTTGTTACAAATTAGTAACTATATATATGAAGAATATTATGTAAAATTAATTTGTGTTATATATATGAAACATAATATGTAAATTAGTGTTTTATATTATGTAAATTCTTGATAATTGTTTAAAAATATTTTTCAATCAACTAACAAACTCAAACCTTCCAAAACCACCATCCAAACAGCGATTTGGATATTTTCCAATTCGTCATTCACGAATTGATTTATAATTTTATTTTCAAACCATTGAATCATACTGCACACACCCATACCTATAGGTAAATCTACCAACCCACCACTATTGTCAAAAAATACTTGGTTGTGTGGTTTAGTTGTTAAAAATTATTTTTAATTTTTTGAAAAAATGCTAAAGACCATAAAAGTTTTATCAATTTTTTTACCAAATATCTCACATAGATGTGGGTCCCACACTTATGTCAGACATTTGATAACTCATATGGTGTGAGTTTCACACCTATGTGAGACATTTAGTAAAAAGTTTGGTAAAATTTTTAGGGTCTCTAGCATTACTATAATTTTTTTGGTTTTGGTATTTTTTTTTTCTTTAATAAAAAAATTTATAGTTTAATCATTTTCAATTTTTTTATATGTATTTAAAAAGTAAAATATTAATTAAAAAAATTAAATATTATTTAACACAAAATATTTTTTAAATTTAAAAACAAGATTCAAATAATGGTGGTTCGTAATTGGAAAAATAGCGGGTGAATTGATAGAGAGAAATTGATTGTGCAAAAAAATATAAAACGAAACATTAGAGCGACATTGCTATAATATGAAATTTTGATACTATTCATTATTAAATGAAAAATGATATATAAGTTTACATTCACCCAAAAAAAGATATATATAAGTCTCTTTTTTGAACTCATTAATATATAAGAGAGATGACTACTAATGATTATAGAAGATATAAGAGAGAAGAAGAGAGAATTACCTTGAATATTCTAATCAATTATCACATTATTGAATTTAAAAAGTAATCTAAGAGTTGTTTTGGGTATGACTTAGTTTTTGACTTCTTTACTTATTACCAAAAAGAATAATAATAATAATAATAATATAACCTAAATAAACTAATAAATTGTTTATTTTTTGGGGTAATTACACTAATAGTCTCTCTATTTTGGGACTTATGTCACTTTGATCCCTGACTTTTCAATTGTGACACATTTGATCCTAAATTTTGAATCTTGTTCCAAATAAGGACAATTGAAAATATCATTAGATTTTTCAAGGGTAAAATTGTCAATTTGATAAAATATAAACTAATTTGACAAAAATAAATGTCAAAAAAATATTTATAATTTTTTAAAAATTATTTTTATCCACCAATAATAAAATTACGTAAAATTAATAAAAATTACATGATTAATTTTTTAAAATTAATTTCACATAATCATCATCCAAACACATATTAAAAATTAATTTGGTAAAAGAAAAATGTCTAAAAGATTTATCAATTTTACATAATTTTATTTTTAGTAGGTAGAAATAATTTTTAAAAATTCAAAAGTATTTGTTTGACATTTATTTTTGTCAAATTAGTTTATATTTTATCAAATTGACAATTTAACCTTTGAAAAATCTAATGATATCTTCAATTGTTCTTATTTGGAACAAAATTCAAAACTCAGGGTCAAATGTGTCACAATTGAAAAGTCAGGGACTAAAGTGACACAAGTTCCAAACTACAGGGACTATTTATATAATTTGCCCTTATTTTTTATATACCCAAAACAAGCCTTAGGCCAAGTTTGACAACTCAAAAAAAAGTCAAAAAATTATCAAAAAAATTAAAAAATTATCATTATTTATCCAAAAAAATTAATAAACATAATATTAAATACCAATTACGTCTACAACAGCCTATGTACAGACATTGTCGCGTAGAAGTGAAAGGAAAAAATAAAAAATATTACGTGTGTATATTAGATGGTAAAGTTGGGCTTATGGGAGCCCACCACTTGTCCCCTTTTCTAATTGGAACCGTTGAATTTGTAGAACTCATCGAGTACTCTATGGCTGTAAAAAATCACGTCTATCAGATATCACTAATTATATGATCAAATCAGTTTTGTATAAAAAATTAGATGGTATTATAATTAACATGTGACAAAAAAAACTAGGACGATCAGATAGCTATTGATATCGAATGAACATGATTTTTTATAAGAATATCGTACTCGATAATTTCTACACATTGAACGGTTCCGATTAGAAAAACAAGACCGTTGGTGGCCTCCACAGACCGAACAACACCGTCTAATCAAAAGCCAAAAAGTAGACAATCTTTTCCCATTTCCTTTTGGGGCCGAGCACTGCCCGACCGTACCAATTTATTAATTATCTTCTCAACACACTTATTTATATAATATTTTAATATATATTTTTTTTATAAAAACTTAAAAAATTAATCCAAACATTCATATTTTTTTCCCCAACTTTTTAATTAAAAAAAATAATAAAAAAATAAATAAAAAAAAGAGAAGTAGTGCACACCCAAACAACTTTTGGGCTTGTCCTCATTCAAATGTAGCGATAATTATCTACACAGCGACGACGAAGAAGAGCTTTGGCTTGAACCCGAGAGAGAGAGAGAGAGAGAAATGGTATGGGCATGTTGAATGAAAGTGGCCAACAACGATGGCTTCGCTGGCTTAGTATAGAATTGGGTGTGAATGAGGTTGTCTGTTTTGGAATGCAATTATGGTTTCAATTCTTCTTTGCAAAATTCCAAACCATTCAGATTATAAGTATCCCTACCCACCCAAATCAATCTATTCATTGGGTTAGAGAGAGAAACACACAGATACATCGAGAGAAGCACATAGACACAGAGAGAGCAAGGCAGAGAGAACTCGAACTCGAAGATGCGAGCTCGAACTGGCCTTTGTATAAATAATCTCTTCTTGCTTCGATTTTATTCTATTCTTTCAGGTATAATCTATTATACGCATCTGTTTTGTCTTTATTTTGTGAAAATCTTTCGGATTATTTATCTAATTTGATTACTTAATTTCATGCTTTAATGATCCTTTTCAATTCATTTGATTTTTAACCAATTTGTTTTAATTAAAAACTTGTATCTATGATTGTGCTTTTTTTGTATTTGTGATTGTTCACTTTCACTCAATCTATTTAAATCTGTCCTTTTTGGGTTTCTATTTTGTGTTTGTTGATGATTTGTGTGTTAAGGTATTGGCATCTTAACAGTGTTATTGGCCTGAATTGATTAAAACATAAATTGTAGATGATACTTTCTATCTCTAATGGAAAAGTAATTTTTGATTTTATAATTTTTTTCCTCTTAACATTTTTCTTGATAATAGATTATCTGTAGGCATTCTTATATTCAACATCTGGGGAAAAAAAAAAAAAACCTGGCTTTTTCCCTCCCCTCCCTCCTAATTACTGGAAACTTGTGTCATGTGCAAATTCCATGTTTACTTGACTCGAATCCTCTTTATATATATATATATATATTATGTATGCATGTGTCAACTTTCAAGCTTATTAATTGAAAATCAAACATATACCCTCGATTTGATGATTTAGTATTTGTGTGCCCATATAATCTTGTGTTCACTGATGTGCATTCCTTGGGACTACAATTTTAGAACTGTTCCTAAGGGGGTTAATGTGATCTTGTGATCTATTGGCCCTAGATTTCATAGCCCCGTCAATGCATTTCCGTTTCAAAGATACTAATGTTTGGGTGAGTGAGACAAAGTATTTTCACCCTTAGGATTGCATGATGAAAGTACCTCATCAGTTGTTGAAGGGAGAACTTCACAATCATTTTCATCCTTAGAATTGCATGATGAAAGTACCTCAAAGAAACTAAAAGTGAAACTATTGTCTCGATATTTGCTTCCATTTTGAATTGGCTCCCTAAAAGTATTATTATTAACTATAATAATTAGCATGACCTAATTAGCATTTTATTTATCTCATTTATTGTTTGACGTGAAGTCTTTCCCTTATTGTTGTCATTTACGTTATTCATTTCCTTTTTATGGTTGTCCTTCTATTTATCTAACCGAACATGTAATGAATGTGTTGATCTTTAAGTTTTTAACAAGAATGATGGGTGCTTAGCCATACATGTATAAATGATTGGTTGTTTACATTGGTGTGTCCTTGTGTTTGTGCATGCATAAGGGTTAAGTTGCTGATTTTTCAGACTAACTAGGTGACCTTGGTGATCTAGTCTGAAGTTGCTGATTTTTCAGACTAACTAGGTGACCTTGGTGATCTAGTGAGACTGTGACAATCCACTGGCTTCTGTATAATGTTTCCTTTGAAACTTTTAATTTGTTTCATGAATCTTTTGAAGATTCTTTGATTTATACAATGGTTCTTATGGTTAAATCTTTAGCATCATGCAGGAAAGACGGTTCTCAATATAGACATTAGATGGTTCATACATTCATTGATGTTTTAGCAATTCTAAATCTATGCATGATGATTCCAGAAAAAATTGAAAGTACTTGGGGGAGCTGAAAATTGTTATTGTTTTGTAGTTCAAAAATGATTTTTGACAATCATAGAGTTGTTCTTCATCTCTTATTTTCCTCTTTCTCTTTGGTTTTCTAATCATTTTGCATGTGTTCCAATGTCTAAGTTTGAGTTTTGTAAATGGTGGATGGATTCTGTAATAACTCTCGTCACTGTTTACCGAATGACCACTGATTACCGTTAAACTGAAACTGATTATGACTGATAATTGAACTGAATGAACTACTGAACTGACTGATTGAAAGCTGAAACTGATTGATTGAATATACTTGTTTGAATTGCGTTTCTATCTGTTGCCTGTTTGATTATCTGTTCCTGTTTTTGTGTTTAAACTGCTAATTGAAGGCCTTATCGGCGGCCGAATCCGAAATTGATTAATGATCTATGATCGTTAGAATTAATGCGATTTTATGGTATAATTATCCGAAAACTGATTTGGTATGATTAAATTAGATTGAAATGAGTTAAACCGCAAACTTGGACTTATTTACACTCTCACCACTCAGTGGCCACTACCTTACACCTTTGGAGACTTGTTAACACATTTCATTAGCCACACTTTGAGAGCTCAACCAACTAGAGAGAGAGAGACAAGGGAGAGAGTTAGACTTCACCTCATTTGGCTTGGTTTTGCTTGGAAATTGAAGATATTGAAGTATAGATTTCATAATTGAGCTTCCTTGCCTATAATTCAAGACTTAGGTGAGAGAATTTGACCTTCTTCATTGTGTATTTGAACTTGTTCATGCTTAGTTCTTAAGCCTCTAGTGATTTAGAGCCTAGTTCATGCATGCATGCCTTTATTTTGAAGTTTTGAAGTTGTCTTTCATAAAATTGTACATGCATGCTCATATTTTTACAAGAGACCATGAACTCATCATGTTTTTGAAAGATTTGGCTCACTAGAGCATCAAATTGAAGCTTTGAATTGGTTTAAATTCATGCATGTTTGCATGTTCTTCATATTCATGAAAATTGGTTTGAATTGGATTTATTTGAAACACCCTTGGGCTTTAATTTTACAATTGAGCTTTGGATTCATGTTAAACTATGAGTTTTGAAGTGTTTTCCAGGAAATGGGCCCAAAGGAATCGAATTTGATGCATTCAAACTTAGTTTTGAGCTTGAGGTTCAAATCTGGAATTTCCAGAATTTGGACTCACGCTCGAGCGGGGTGACTGGCGCTCGAGCGTGGAAATCGTGCTCCCAGCATTTTTGTTCTGTTTTGAATTCCGCTCGAGCAGAATAATTGACGCTCGAGCGGGCGTCGAGCGCCCAATCGAGCGTGATTTTCACCTTTCCAGCACTTCCGACTGTTTTGTAGAACGCTCGAGCAGGTAGTTTTACGCTCGAGCGGAAACCTTTGTCTGCACGTCCGCTCGAGCGGGGTAACCTACGCTCGAACGTGACCCCTGTTTTCTGAAAATCCTGAAACTGTTTTCTGATTACATCTTTGCATCCTCATCCCATCCTAGGCATTCTTAGGCCAGTTTAAGGCATCTTGTTGAGGACATAGATATAGAACACACCGAGGCATATTAGGGGTTAAGTTATTATCTTTCCCAACTGTGTAGCTTAGTGTGTGTTCAATCTGTTAACTGTGTAGGATTGGCTTTCTGAGGAGACGCGCTCTAGCTTACTGTAGTCCAGAACTCTGTGAGTAACGATTGTGTAAAGATATGTTCAAAAATGATTATTTTTTGAACAACTGAACTGTACTGTTTCTGAATTGAATACTGTTAATTGAATGAATGTATGTCCTGTATATTGAACTGTATTGTGGCATCCTTGGCACCTACTGTTTATTGTTACTGTTACAGAAATCTCTGTCGGTTCCCTCGTTGGAACCACTTCTGTTTACTGACTGATGGCCATCATTACTGTTCGGTCTTTTAAGACCTACTGTTTACTGTACTGTTATGCTAATGGATGTACCACATATGACTGTACTGACTGAACGACTGAAATACTGAATCAATGAACTGTTTTCATTACTGTAAGGACATTCATTCTTAACCCCTTTACGCATTATGTTATTCACTGGGCTTTAGCTCACTGCTCATATATATATGTAGGTGTACAGGCACCAGACCGCGGCTAGAAGCGTCGAGATAGACTCCAGTTTTGTCAAGCCAACCTATGTGCCTCACTGCGAGGTTCCGAACCTGCCATGCTTTGGCTTAGGGGTCTTTTATTCTCCCCTTCTGTACTGTTTTGAGAATTGAATAGAATGTACCGTACTGTACTGTCAGCAGGGATTGAGTCCCTATTCTGAATGATTGTAATTATTGTACATACTGTTTTGCTACTGACTGCTTATATATATATAAAAAGTCTTTTTGCATACAGACTGTCACAGCTCATTGGGCATTGTTTATTTACTGTATTGGCTTCCGCCAGGCCCTGTACTCTGTTTTACTGTATTACTGTTAAGCAGGCCTTCGGTAATCTCGGATTACTGGCCGGTTATGGTGCTAAACCCATAGGGCCAGGTTTGGGTCGTGACAGATTCACATTTTTAATTTATAGTTAAAATGTCATGCATAGATATTGTTGCTGCTTGTAAAGTCTTTTAAATTATATGGTTGATACTTGTGTTATATTAAAAGATTTTCCTTTGATCTTAACTCTCTCTCTCTCTCTTCTTCTCTCCCTTTTCTTTTCTGTAGATCTTGTTTGTTTCATTTATTTATTTTTTAACGTTAAATGATGCATGCTATTCATTGTTATTATATTCTTGGTAACTAAATGATGTTTTTTGGAAACTCATAGTTGATTAATATACTTGGTATATATTTCAATATGTAATCACTATTATTCTTACACATTGCTACACATGTTACACGCTACTGAAGAAAATAACTATAGATCCATTACTAATTCTGGTGGCTTGATTTAAACTTCAGTGGGAACATAAATTAGCCTTGATGGAACGTAGAAGCCACTCTAATTTTTTCTATTCCTTCAACCCTGGTTCCAATGTTGATAACCTTGGGTTGGTCCAACAAAATTTAGATTATGTGAATGCTTCAACTTATGGCAATTGTAGTTTTATCGGGAGCTCCCATGATCAGGTTGAGGAATTCAATGATGTCACTCCTAATATTGGCCGAGAAATGGGGCTAGTTATTTGAATCAGACGTCAAGGTTGGAAGGAAATGTAGGAACCTTTAGAAATACTCGTCAGAGAACGAATCCGGCAACAGAACGAAACTTTCCATTCTTAAGCATGCTTTCCTCCCCACATGTTGGCAGCACTTCTTAGATCTTGCATACTTCCTATTGGAAGTCTTCAAGCTCTGGTAGTGCTTTATCTATTCCTTCTGCCATTCCTCCAAGTGGAAGTGACGCACTTCAGCGTGAAGAGAACTCAGGATATATTGCTAGAAGCACCTCTGTGTAGAGTGTGCTAGTTCCTAATCCTGAGATGGGGATTTCAAGCCAAAATGTATTGCCTTCAAGCGCCTTCCTTGTAAACTGCAATTCCCAAAATGGTGGCCATCTATCTTCTACTCTTAGGTTTCCCCTGAGGAATTTGGTTGAAGAATATGAAGAGTGGATGCTTTGTGTTTGTTTTTTTGTAAATTTGATTGACTCTCTTCATATTCTTCGACCAAATTCCTCGAGGGAAACCTATGAGTAGAAGATAGATGGACGACATTCTTAGAACTGTAGTTTACAAGGAAGGTGCTTGAAGGCAATACATTTTGGATTGAAACCCCATCTCAGGAATAGGAACTAGCACACTGTACACAGTGGTGCTTCTAGCAATATATCCTGAGTTATCTTCATGCCAAAGTGCGTCACTTCCACTTGGAGGAATGGCAGAAGGAATAGATGAAGCACTGCCAGAGCTTGAAGACTTCCAATAAGAAGTATGCACGATCTGAGAACTGTTGCCCACATATGGGGAGGAAAGCATGCTCGAGAATGGGAAGTTTTATTCTGTTGTCGGATTCATTCTCCAACAAGTATTTCTAAAGGTTCCTACATTTCCTTCCAACCTTGAAGTCTAATTCAAATAACTAGCCCCTGTTTTCAGGACAATGTTAGGAGTGACATCATTAAATTCCTCAACCTGATCATGGCAGTTCCCGATAGAAATACAATTGTCATAAGCTGAAGCATTCACATAATCTAAATTTTGTTGGACCAACCCAAGGTTATCAGCATTGGAACCAGGGTTTGAGGGAATAGAAAAAATTGGAGTGGCTTCTACGTTCCATCAAGACTAATTTATGTTCCCACTGAAGTTTAAATCAAGCCACCAGAATTAGTAATGGATCTATAATCATTTTCTTCATAGCATGTAACATGTTTAGCAATGTGCAAGAATTATAATGATTACATATTGAAACATATACCAAGTATATTAATCAACTATGAGTTTCCAAAAAATTCTTTTAGTTACCAAGAATATAATAATAATGAACAACATGCATTATTTAACGTTAAAAAATAAATAAATAAATAAAATAAGATCTATACAAAAGATGAGGGAGAGAGAGAGAGAGTTAAGATCAAAGGAAAAACTTTTAATATAACACAAGTATCAACCATCTAATTTGAAAGGCTTTACAACCAGCAGCAATATCTATGCATGGCCTTTTATCTATCAATTAAAAATGTGAAACCATCCACCATTTACAAAAATCTCAGACTCAGACATTAGAATACATGTGAAATGATTAGAAAACCAAAGACAAAGAGGAAAATGAGAAATGAAGAACAACTCCATGATTGTCAAAAATCATTTGTTGAACTACAAAACAATAACAATTTTCAGCTCCCTCAAAGTACTTTCAAATTTTTTTGGAATCACCATGCAAAGATTTATGATTGTTAAAACATCAATGAATGTATGAACCATCTAATGTCTATATTGACAACCGTCTTTCCTGAATGATGCCAAAGATTTAACCACAAGAACCATTGTATAAATCATAGAATCTGCAAGGAAAATATTCATTAAACAAATTAAAAGTTTTAAAGGAAACATTATACAGAAGCCAATGGACTGTTACAGTCTCACTAGATCCCCAAGGTCACCTAGTTAGTCTGAAAAATCAGCAACTTAACCCTTATGCATGCACAGATTCAAGGACACACCAATGCAAACAACCAATCATTTATACATTTATGGCTAAGAACCCATCATTCTTGTTAAAATCTTAAAGATTGACACATTCATTACACGTTTGGTTAAATAAATAGGACAACCATAAAAAAGGGAAAAAAATAACGTAAATGACAACAATAAGGGAAAGGCTTCACGTCAAACAATAAATGAGATAAATATAATGCTAGTTAGGTCATGCTAATTAATATTGTTAATAATAATACTATTAAGGAGCCAATTCAAAAACCAAGTAAATAACGAGATAATATTTTCACCTTTGAGGTACTTTCATCATGCAATTCTAAGGGTGAGATTGTGAAGTCCTCTCTTCAACAATTGATGAGGTGCTGTCATCATGCAATCCTAAGGGTGAAAATACTTTGTCTCACTCACCCAAACATTAGTATCTTTGAAACGGAAAGGCATTGGGGCATTATGGAATCTAGGGCCAATTGATCACAAGATCACCTCAACCCCCTTAAGAGGAGTTCTGAAACTGCAGCCCTAAGGTACACACATCAATGAACACAAGTCTATATGCGTACACAAATACTAAATCATCAAATCGAGTGTATATGTGTGATTTTCAATTAATAAGCTTGAAGGTCGACACATGCATACATAATATATATGTAAAGAGGATTGGAGTCAAGTAAACAAGGAGTCTACACATGACACAAGTTTGCAGTAATTAGAAGGGAGGAGAAGGGGAAAGCCTTGTTTTGTTTTTTTTTTCCTTCAAATTTTGAACATAAGAATGCCTATAGATAATTGATCATCAAGAAAAATGCGAAGAGGAAAAAATTTGTAAGATAAAAAATTACTTCTCCATTAGAGATAGAAAAAATCATCGACAATACATGTTTTAATCAATTTAGACCAATAACACTATTAAGATGCCAACACCTTAACACACAAATCATCAAGAAGCAAAAAATAGAAACCTGAAAAGGGGCATATTTAATTAGATTGATTGAAAATGAACAATCACAGATACAAAAAAAAGTATTGAATAAACAATCATAGATACAAGTTTTCAATTAAAACAAATGGGTTAAAAATCAAACGAATTGAAAATGATCATTGAAACATGAAATTAAGCAATCAAACTAGATTACACTACAAGAAAAATAGGATACTACCACATTTTTTTTCTGCCGTTTTTTAATAATGTTATGAAATGTTCTATGATTTTTCACTTTCTCAACAAGTTTAATTATCCTATCTCATTTTGTATGCCGTTATTAGAAAACTATGAAATAACGTTTATTTGTGATTGAAGAGGTAGGTTTCTGGTCAAAAGAAGAGAACAGAGGCGTGACTTTTGTGTGTGAGAGAGATAGAGAAAGGCAGAGAGAGAAATCAAGGCCTTGGATCTTCGATCTCCATCGATTCTTTGGTTGTATGATCTAGAAATTCTTGTTCTACACTTGATTTGAGCATATGTTTGTAATATTGTTTGAATCCCTCTTACCTAAGTCGATCTAGGGCTCAAGGTTAGAGTTTTCTGATATGGATTTGCTACGTTCACACAAGATTTGTAAACTTTCATGGCTTAAACTAACGATTTATAAGTGATTTCTAGTTTCTTTTCTTCTGTTTTGTATTTTCTCTTTTCGAATCGATTTATCTAGGGTTTTGAGTGGCGTGTTAATGTCTCTGATCACATATAGGATAAGCAAGCAACGTTGGATCTGGATCGTTAGCAACAGTGAGTAGAAGCAAGCTCAACATTGTAGCGATGTAGATCTTATTCTCAAATCTATTCCCTATCCGATCAGATCTACTCTCTCTGTCTCTCTGATCTACTATTATGGTAATATCAAATCTGCTCTCTCAATCTCTCCGATCAAATTTCATGTATTCTCTTCATTGCTCTATGAGATTTGGACCTTTCTCTCTGGTTTTTTATTCAATCTCATTATCTTTGTCACTCTATCACATTTTCCTTATAGAGAATGTCAAAACAGTTTCTAAAATCGGTGCTAGTGACTAGTTCGTTGGTGCTCTCCTATGCATATTGATGATGACTAATTTGTAGTTGAGGTTAATATTCCCTGATGCTGTGATTCTTATCCTCTAACATTAATTTTTTTATGGATTTTTTTTTTTTTTTGTTGGAATAGCTTGTTGATATTGTGATTCTTATTGTACCATTTTCCTTGCATGTCAAATGTTCGATAAAAT